TTCCTCCTTAAAACCTAAACTTGCGAATGCTCGCTTCTTTTATATTTTAAATCTCTAAACAGCAAAACAATAATAATAATATTAATACCTCTAAATATACAGTCTTACTGTGTCGTTGTCCTATAGAGTCATCTTACCAGGTCAACTTTATCATCTTTGCAACCCTTGCTCACTTAATACCAGAAATATCATCAGCTTTCTAATCAAAATGAGAGCTAGAAAATCAAATCAAAATCAATTATATTTTAACGGGCAAAATGCACAGCCTAGGACAGTGCACAAATTACCAGTACTTTAGTTCTTTAGTTACCGTTCCCAGTTATTACGTTTATTACGGTGGTGCGGCGATAAGGTCGCTTTCTGAACGGTTAACTATTAAGTACAATTTCAGTGCAATGAAACGTCTGCTTCGCGTTGAATCTACTTTATTACTACAGAGTAAAATTACAAACAATATGAATGAACATATCCGCCCACCAAAGGACCTTTAATGTCCTTTCAAAATATTACATGCAAACCCTTATATACTTTAACAATTTGGCATTTAATTAAACCTTCATTAATTGGGAGATAGCAAAGATTAGATACAGATCGTTTTACAATATTATTTCCGTTTTTAACACTATAAACTCGAGTTACGCCATCTGACCCTGGATGTTTTTCAGTAATTCGTCCAATGTTCCATTTTCCAGGTGGTAAATTTTGTTGTTTTATGAGCGTCGGCGATAATAAGTGAGACAAGAGTGTTGTTGTTTCCAATGATTATAGGATGTTTAGTATTTGCTTCTAAACTTGATTTTGCTAATCTTCCGCCCACCCTGAGCACTCCATTATTATCTAAAATGGATTAAGCTTCTTCAATTTACTGTTATTTTTAATATTGTTCTTTATCTTTAACGAATGTATTTCAGTTTCGAATTCTTCATTTTGCACTATTTTGATACATGTTAGTAATGCTTCTTCTATATCTTCTGTTGTGATTATTATGTTTTTATTATCCTTTTTAAACTTGACAAACTTTTTACAATAAGCTATGGTTCTTAATAGCTAATTTAAGGTAGTAAATCTTTCAAATTTTTCAGAAAATCTTTTTTCTTCTTTAATGTTTGTCAATATGAGAGTTTTAATTCTTTCCTTATCTTTTCTAGATCTGTTGTAAATATGTTCTCGTCGGTTAAGATGATTTCTCCTTTTTGTAACCAAGTAGGTCCTTTCCACCAAAGGTTGCAGTGTTTCAAATCGGAGATGAACATACCCCTAGATGCAATATCTGCTGGATTTTCTTGTGACTGGACATGATGCCATTGTTCTTTTTTGTGATTTGTTAAAATTTCTACTACACGATTGGCCACAAATGGCTTCCATTTTGTGGGTTCGCCAGACAACCAAGCTATGACTATAGATGAATCTGTCCATGCGAAAACTCTTTCCATCGGTATTTTCATGGCCTGTGCTACTTGGTTCAATAATCGGGATAAAAGCAAAGCTCCAGAAAGTTCTAATTTTGACAACGAAATTGTCTTGAGGGGAGCCACTCTAGTTCTGGCTGCAATTAATGCTGTTCTATATGAACCGTCCGTTTTCTTGACTAGGCAATACACCACGGCGGCGTAAGCTAAAATAGAAGCGTCACAATAACCATGAATTTGAATTGTATCCATGTTGGAGCAAGAAGTACCTAACCATCGATCGATAAAAATGTTATTCACATTCATAATATCTCGGCGAATCTTCAACCATTCTTCTTTCAGAAAAATGTTGAGATCCTCATCCCAATCAACCTTTTCAAGCCATAGTTTTTGAATTAATATTTTAGCTTGAACAATACTAGGTGCGATCCAACCTAAAGGGTCGAACAACTTTTGTATATCTGAGAGGATATTCCGTTTCGTGATAATGTTTTCTTCGTCGACTTCAGGTAGGTTTAAGTTGTATTCAAATCGATCATTCCCTAAATTCCATTGAACCCCTAGTGTTTTTATTATTCCATCTAGTTTTAAATCGAAATGAGCTTTAGTAGTTCTTTCATCTGGTTTTAAACTTTGCATAAATTCAGTATTATTAGAGGACCATTTCTTCAACTCAAATCCTCCTCTACGTAACAATTCTTTTAAATCCTTGCTTATCTGAATTGCTTTTTGAACGTCATCACTTCCAGACATGCAATCATCAACATAGAAATCTTCATTTAATATTCTAGCTGCTTCAGGAAAGTTATCCCCTTCATCAATCGCTAGTTGCTTCAAAGTTTTTACTGCAAGATACGGTGCTGAGGCTGTCCCGAACGTTACAGTAAAAAGGCGATAGTCACGTATCTCATCGGATGGATTTTCTCTCCATACTATACGCTGGTAATCAACATCATCTCTATGAATTTTTATCATTCTATACATCATTTGAATATCAGACACGAAACAAATTGCATGAATTTAATCTCATGATTAAATTTCTTAAATCTTCTTGCAAAACTGGACCTGACAGAAGCTCCTTGTTAAGTGAAATATTGTTGGAGCCCTTACAGGAAGCATCGAAAACAACTCGTGTCTTCGTAGTTTCTTTGTCCTGACAGACAACAGCGTGGTGAGGTAAGTAAACTGATTTTTTATGTAATTTTTTTTCAGGTACTTCTTCAATATGATTTAACGTTTTATATTCGTTTATTACTTTCAGATATTCGTCTTTTAGTTCTGGATTTCTACTAAATCTTCTTTCAAGCTGCATTAATCTCTTAATTGCTGTTTCTTTTGTATTTCTTTCAGACGACAATAGTGCTTCAGTTTTAAAAGGTAATCTTACTATATATCTTCCTTCGTCATTCCTAGCATGAGTTTCTTTATAAAATTCTTCACATCTCAATTCTTCTTTAGTTAAATTACGTTTTGTGTCTGTATCTATCTCCCAAATAGTTTTAATCATGAATATCATCAGTTGTGATATTCATTGCCATTATGGCTTTATGCTTTGGTTTCATGTTGATATTTATTCCACCCATCACAATCCATCCCAGGATGGTTTTCTGTGCGCATACTGTGCCTGATGGACCCTTGATTAATCCTTGTTTAAGAATTGCTGTATACTCTTGCATCCCTAATAGCAAATCCATTGCTCCGGAATCCATAAAATTTGGATCTGCTAGATTCAATTTCTCAAAGTGACGCAGTTCCTGTTGCAAATATTTTGATAAAGGTATGTTAAACTTTAATGGCGTGTATTGGTAGCTCAAAGTTAGGTTCCCAGCGTGACATTAAATCAAAATTGACTTCTTGTTTGATGTTTACCTTCATATTATCCATACCCGTGACGACCAAATTTTCAGGTTTGCGTTGCAATTTTAGTGCTTGAGTTGCCTTTTGAGTGATAAAGCATGACTGCGACCCCGAATCTATTAGCGCCCTAAGTACAGTTGTGTGCCCATAGTTTCCCTTTATAACCACAATTGCGGTTGCCAATAGATTGATATGTTCTGTAACATTATGTAAAGCTGTCATTGTAGCAAGAGTCTTCTCCTCTTCCTGAGGTAATGTCATCGGTTGCTTGAGTTCGTAAGATGCCGACGCATTTGCTTTAGTTGACTGATGAAGAAGAGAATGATGACGAGCCTTGCATATTCGACATGAAAGAGGTAAATGACATCTAAATGCCGAATGCCCTGGAGCCAAGCAGTTGAAGCAGAGTTTGTTGTGTTGTGCATAGTGACTTCTTTCCGCAGGTGACATTTTTGAGAATGTTTTGCAACGACATAAGCTACGATTTTCCTTACACATAATAGATGTCTTCTCTATAGTCATGTGGAAAACACGTTCTCTTAACGGCTTGAGAGTTGGTTTAAAAGGTGGATTTAACAATTCTAACGTTCTAAATTTTCCTTCTAAAAACTTCTGTAATTCAAACCAATTAGATAATTCTTCTCAACTCATATCATACGAAAATTGTTCCCATTCTTTGTGAGTATCTGAATCCAACCTTTGAACTACTAAAAATACAATTAGAGGGTCCCATGACTCTGTAGATACCTTAAGATTTTGTAAGCTGTGTTTAATATAATATGTAGTATATAAGGTTTTCCATGATTATATCTAGATGGCGCTAGTTGTTACTTAAAACGCGCTATCGAAGTATGTTGTAACTTTCTTATTGTCAGTTGGTATGTGGATTAAATGAGAAAGTTTTGAGCTATCGAAGAAGTTTTATTCAGTCTACTCGCGGACTCATTAGGGAGCTTGAATAGATTCATTCATTGGTCCTTCGAGCCGGATAGACCGCAATCTATCCCATTGCACTAGAAACCAGAGGTGGATCGCCCTGAAGGTGCATAGTCGTGACCCGGGCGTGGGTTTACGACCGGTTGGTTAACGAAGTGCCCGCGCACTTTACCAACCGAGAAGAAAGTGAAAGTGAAGTGAGTGAAGTGTAACAATCTGCGAGTAGAAGGCGTGGCGAGGAGCAGCAAAGCAGTCTTCGGAGGCGCAGGGAAACATCATCAGCTAGACACGCCAGCAGGGCGTTGCTAGAAGCAATTTTCGGAGGCGCAGGAAACATCATCAGCTAGACACGCCAGCAGGGCGTGGATAGAAGCACCTTTCGGAGGCGCAGGAAACATCATCAGCTAGACACGTCAGCAGGGCGTGGCTAGAAGCACCTTTCGGAGGCACAGCTGGGCGTGGCACCTTTAGGAGGTGCAAGCAGTCATCACCAGCGAATAGCGCGCTAACTCGGTGCTGCTAGGAAGCAGCCGTCGTCAACTAATAGCTCGCCAAGGAGGCGTAGCTTCAGAGGAGACATGTACCTGCTCAGTCCCCCACTTTGAAATATCGGCAAATTCCCCTCCAACTGTGCGTTGTATCCAATCTTCTGCGGGCATCGTGAAGAGTTAGAGTAACCAGTCAGCAACGAGGAGCGTCGGAACATAAGTCGGTAACGTTTCCCTAAGACTAGGGGACGTATCAGGTATTATTTTATAAATTTGATTGGTGTTAGTTATTTAATTATAGTAGTAAACTATGGCATCTCTTATTAAAAGTCAAATTGGTTATAAAGAAACATTAAAACGTGCTTATCAGAATTTCCGAAAATCTCCAAAAGATAGACTGGCCAAAGTTTCCTATATTAAAACGAAATTAGAATTGTTAGAAAGTGATTGGAAAACAGTAACTAATAATCATAACAGGATTTTAGAGAATTTTGATAGCACAATTGAAGAAGAATATTTAAATGTATATGAAGAGTTGGAGGACACATACTTAAATTATAAACTTAGTTTATTGGATGTGTTGCCCAACTCTGACAATGTTATGGATAATCCTTGTATGAATAATCAGTCTTGTAAAGGTGAATCAAATTTAAGATTACCAAAAATTAGTATTCCTGTATTTTCGGGAAATTATTCAGATTGGCAAACCTTTAAAGACCTATTCGAATCCTTAATCCATAACAACACATCTTAAGACAAAATAGAAAAATTTCATTATTTAAAGGGGCTTCTTACTGGAGAAGCCGAACAGATACATGTTACTTTATCTGCAGCGAATTATGATCAGTCCTGGACTTTATTAAATGATAGATTTAACAATAAGAAATATTTGGTGAATTGTTTATTAGATCGGTTATTAAATCAATCAGCTATTGTACATGAATCGTGTAAAGCAATAAAGAGGCTGTTTGATACTACGAATGATACCTTACAGGGTTTAAAAAATTTAGGATTACATGTTGAACATTGGGACACTATTGTTATTTAACATATTCTAACGAAGAAAATTGATACGGAATCCCGAAAGTTGTGGGAACAAAGAATTTGTACATCAAATGATCTACCAACAATATTAGAATTCAAACAATTTTTAGAATCTCGTTTTAGATCTCTTGAATTTTTGGATATTAAAAATACTTAAAGAATTGGTCCTTCGAGCCGGATTACAAATTATCAAAACAAAGTACATCATGTGGTGTCAAATTCTAGTTCAAACGTATGTGCATATTGTAATAGATCAAATCACAAAATTGTTAATTGTAAGGAATTTTGTAAAATGGATTATGAAGGCCGTCATAATTTTATCAAATCTAGTAATCTTTGTTTCAATTGTTTGGGAAGCAGTCACTTAGCTATCGCGTGTCGTTCGTCAAAGTGTAGGGTTTGCCGTAACAACCATCATTCTTTGCTTCATCCTCCAAAACAAAAAATAGATTCAACAATCAATTTGAATCCGGGTGTAGGTATGGTCTCTGATTCCAAAATATCAATAAACGAAACACCAGTCCAAAACTTGCTTTCAATTTCAAATATCTCTACACACTTTATGCAACAGATTGTTCCTAAAGAGGTCCTATTAGCAACAGCTGTGATTAAGGCTCAAGCGAAAAATGGTCAATTTTACCTATTGCGAGCATTACTCGACCAAGGCTCGCAGGCGTCTTTCATAACAGAATCGGCAGTACAGCTTCTTGGGCTAAGAAAGACATTAAATAAGAGCATTATTTCTGGACTGGGTGGTGATAAGGGTGTTTTGGCTTCTAAATACAAAGTTGAAGTATTGGTTCAATCAAATCATGATCACAATTTTGAAATGGAAGTACAAGCCCATGTACTGCTAACTATCACAAGCTTGCTTCCTTCAACGAAAATTCAGAAAGTAGATTGGCCTCAATTATCTTCTTTAAATTTGGCTGATCCTCATTATAGCACACCTTCTAAAATATACATTTTATTGGGTGCTGATGTCTACGGTGATGTCATCAAGGTCGGGTTAGTTCGGGATCCAAACGGTGGATTGACGGCTCAATACACTGCTTTAGGTTGGGTTTTATCTGGTCCCACTAACTTAGTTAATGAGGAAATTGCAGCACAAACGCAATGTCATCATAACTTGATACTTCGTATTCATACTCAAACTCAGATTGATGATAATGAGTTATTAAAGCGGTTTTGGCAACTTGATTCTGATTCTGATTCCGACAACACTAAAATTATCTCCGAGGAGGAGACTAGATGCGAGGAGTTTTATGCGAAAACAACACAACGAGGCGAAACCGGACGATACGTTGTTCGTTTACCTTTTAAGGAAACGGACCCTCAATGTAAATATGGAAGATCTCGAGATATTGCAATTAAAAGACTCCGTATTATTGAACAGAGATTCAAGAAAAATCATGAGTTAAAGGCACGTTATTCCGCAGTCATGCAAGAATACCTCGATCTTGGTCATATGGAACATGTTACTGTAAAAGATAAAGATCCATTAGAAAGTGTATATCTTCCACATCACGGCGTCATACGTGAAGACAAGACCACGACCAAGGTCAGAGTCGTATTTGACGCATCTTGTAAAGGAACAAACGGAATATCTCTGAATCAAACATTGATGGTGGGTCCCAAGCTCCAGCAAGATCTACGTCACATTATAATGAGATGGCGAATGCATCCCATTTGTCTGAGCGCGGACATTGTAAAAATGTATCGGCAAGTGGTCGTTACTGACGCTGATGCAGATTTTCAACGACTTGTCTGGAGAGAAGATGAGGAATCTGAAATAAAAGATTACAGATTAATAAGAGTTACGTTTGGCACAGCTTGTGCTCCTTACTTAGCTGTGAAGACGTTGCAACAACTCGCCATTGCTGAACACAAAGAATGCCCTGATGAAGCTGAAAAAATAATAACAGATTATTATGTAGATGATTTATTGACTGGGTGCGAAACAGTAGAAGAAGGAGTTAGGATATATAAGGAAATGAATAACATACTTAGGAAAGGAGGATTTGAACTACAAAAATGGGTTACTAATAACAAGGAATTGGCAGCAAAGGTGGTGGATGACGGAGGAAATCAGGACGGGAAGATTGAATTAAAAATAGACGAAATAGTAAAGATATTAGGGCTTATCTGGGACAAGGAATCGGACTCCTTTCATTACTCAGTTCAACTTCCTCTTCTGCATGATGTTTATACAAAACGAAAGGTAATTTCAGACATTGCCCGGCTTTATGATCCGTTAGGATGGCTGTCACCTTGTATTGTTTCAGCTAAGTTAATGATACAAAAACTATGGTTAGCTGGTATAGATTGGGACGAGGCATTACCAGATGATTTGTTGGCACAATGGCTTACTTACCGTTCTGAGCTCAACGATGTCAGCAAGGTTATAATACCAAGGTGGATAGGAAGTAAAATTGACAGTTTTAAAGAATTACACGGTTTCTGTGATGCATCTTCTGTAGCGTATGCTGCAGCGGTTTATCTCAGGTGCATTACTGAAGACGGTAAAATTGAAACACACCTTGTAGCTGCTAAGACCAAAGTAGCGCCAGTGAAGCAGGTTTCAATACCTCGGCTGGAGTTACTATATGCAGTTTTACTTGGAAGGCTTTTAACTGAAGTAGCCAAGGTGTTGAATGTAGAGAGCAAGAATGTTCATGGATGGACTGATTCAACGGTTGTCCTGGCTTGGTTGAGTAAGCATCCAAGTAATTGGACAACATTCATAGGCAATAGGACATCAGACATATTGTCAAAATTAGACAATACACAATGGGCTCATGTTCAAACTCAACACAATCCCGCTGATGTCGCGTCCAGGGGATGTGCACCTCTAGAACTTGTTGAAAATAGTTTATGGCTACATGGCCCATGGTGGTTACAAAATTACTATATAGAATATGCACGGCCAAAATCTATATCTACTGATTTAGAGGAACGAACTATTAAAACTTACCTTGTAAAAGATACTGCAATAGATGTTCCAATTTGGGATAGATTTTCGTCCATTCAGAGGATGATTCGTGTCCTCGCATTCTGCCGAAGATTCTTAAAAATCAAGGAGGTCAACCAAAAGCTCCATAAGTTTGAGTCATATTTAACTTCTGTAGAGCTTAATGAAGCTCTTGATCTCAGTTTAAAAGAGTGTCAGAGAAGGGAGCTTGAAATGGAAAATACTCAACTGAAACGACTGAACTGTTATCAAGATGATAGAGGAATTATAAGAGCACAGGGCAGAATTAACAAAGCTCACCTTCCTGATGACACCAAACAACCTATCATTCTTCCAAACAAGAGCAATTTTACCAACTTAATCGTTGATGATGCACACAAACGAACATTACATGGTGGCCCGTTGTTAATGTTGAACTTCTTACGCACGAAGTACTGGATAATTGGTGCTAAAAGCTTGGTAAAAAGACATGTACATAAATGCGTGACATGTATTCGATATAACGCATCAACAAAAAATCAATTAATGGGCCAATTACCATCTGCTAGAGTTATGCCAGCGCGAGCATTTCTTAACAGTGGTGTAGATTTTGCTGGCCCAATTAATATACGAATGTCCAAAGGTCGCGGAAACAAAAGCTATAAAGGTTATATCAGTCTTTTTGTGTGTATGGTCACTAAGGCCATCCACTTAGAAGTAGTTAGCGATCTCACTGCTGACAGTTTCATAGCAGCCTTTAAGCGATTTCTTGCTCGGAGAGGTCACGTAAGCGATATTTGGAGCGACAACGGAACTAATTTTGTAGGAGCGTCTAAAGAATTGAGACAAATAGTTGATAATGCTTCTGTAGCCACTGACGTTCGCGAATGGCTTGGTAATCAAATTGTCACTTGGCACTTCATTCCCCCTCATGCCCCTAATTTCGGAGGTCTATGGGAGGCAGGGGTGAAGTCAACTAAATTTCATTTAAAGCGAATCGTGGGTGACTCCACCCTTACTTTTGAGGAGATGACCACAGTTTTGTCGCAAATCGAGGCATGCCTCAATTCAAGACCATTGTCGATCTTACCTGGAGACACTACAGACCCCTCACCACTCACTCCAGGACACTTCCTAGTTGGAGAACCACTTGTAGTTATCCCTGAAGCTAGTTATGAGCAAAGTAACATCAGCACACTTAAGCGGTGGCAATTGACGCAGAGAATGATGCAAAATTTTTGGCGTCGTTGGTCAAACGAGTATTTAACGCATTGTTTACAACGCTACAAATTGTCAAAACTTACCCCGGAACCTCAAATAGGAGATGTAGTTCTTGTTAAGGAGGATGATTATCCTCCGTCCATCCTTCCACCGTCACGATGGTGGTTAGGTAGAATAGTTACGAAGCATCCTGGCTTGGATAACATTGTTAGGGTCGTTACATTGAAGTGTAAGGGAGTGCTTCTCAAAAGAGCACCATCCAAACTTTGTGTTTTACCAATAGCAGTTTAAAAATTTTAGTTTACTTTTCATATCCCCTGACCTCATGGTGGGCGGTAAATACTGAGAAGAACGTTAAATAACGTTGGTGGGCGGAATGTTTAATATAAAATGTAGTATATAAGGTTTTCCATGATTATATCTAGATGGCGCTAGTTGTAAAACGCGCTATCGAAGTATGTTGTAACTTTCATATTGTTATGTCAGTTGGTATGTGGATTTAATGAGAAAGTTATGAGCTATCGAAGAAGTTTTATTCAGTCTACTCGCGGACTCATCAGGGAGCTTGAATAGATTCATTCAAGCTGTTTAAAACTTCATTTGTTGTACCTATCTAATATTCCTTTTAATTGTAAAGCTGATTGTGACATAATTTTCTTTTGTGAAAATAATCGTTTAAAATAACTTTAAATAATTAATTAATTATCATTCGTTTATTCCCATATCTAAGTTTTAGAGTCTCCCAAGCAGATAAGTAATTCGATTCCATGATTTGGATGTGTTTTAATAAGGATGCTGCTTCACCTGTTATGCTGCAATTAAAAAATGTGCAAAGGCTAGACTTACGAAAGGTTATCTACAAACACGGATGGAGTGTATAGAAAGTGACTGGAAGACGTATAAAAGTGCACATTTAGATTTAATAAAAATTACGTCGCGTGAACAAAAGTCAATTTTACCATATTTTGTCAATGAGGATTATTCTTTGATCTAGGATTTATATTTATGTATGGTGTCTGACATCAGGGATATGTTAGAAGGTCTTGAAATTCAAAGAGGACAACAATCCTGTAATCAGGGGAACGGCTCCACTGCAGTCGAACACAACGTACAATCACAGGTTCGACTCCCGCGCATTGAATTACCAACTTTTTCGGGTAATTACGAAAATTGGCCTTCTTACAAAGATATTTTTGTTGCACTGGTACATGATAACACGTCACTATCTAATGTTCAACGACTACATTGGTTAGGTTAGGTTAGGTTAGGTTAGGTTAGGTTAGGTTAGGTTAGGTTAGTTTTTTTTTTTTTCCTTTTAATTGCTAGTAGGCCTACCATCCCCGGCGACTAACGTCCCGGGGCCGAGGAAGCTAAGCTAAAATGAGCTTTTCATAGTCGTATTAATTTATTGACGTAAAAGTAACAGTATATACATTGAACGTAGGTAAGGTGGTTGAGGGTTGGTTTTGCTATAGGATACAATTCTTTTCCCTCAACCACCTGAATAGAGTCCGCGTCTTAAAACTAGTCTTAGAATAATAGTTGTTTGTATACAGTTGCAAAATATAAAGTTGAATTTAAAACTTAAAACTTAGTTATGTAATAGTAGGCTATAATAATGGTAAATTTAACAAAGGTAGATGGAATTAATGTATTGTAAACTATAATATAAAAGTACAAATTGAAGGTGAATTTAACACTTATACAATGATAAGGATTAGACACGGGTAGGTTGATGAGAGTCGGTTCTGCTATTTGATGCAATAACCGACCCTCAGCCGCCCGATTTAAGTCCGTTACTTAACACGATAATCAAATTAAAATCTAGATATAACAGTACGAATCAAAGGTAAATTCTACACTAAAACAATATTAATTACAATTCAAAGATGAAATTTACATTAATGCCCTATTAAGAATTAGACACGGGTAGGTAGTTGAGGGTCGGTTCTGCTATTTGATACAATAACCGACCCTCAGCCGCCCGATTTAAGTCCGCCTCTTAACATGCTAATTAAATATAAGTCTAGATGAAAAAAGTACAATTCAAGGTGAAATTTAACACTAAACCCATATTAAGAATTAGACACGGGTAGGTTGTTGAGGGTCGGTTCTGCTATTAGATACAATAACCGACCCTCAGCCGCCCGATTTAAGTCCGCCTCTTAACATGCTAATCAAATATAAGTCTAGATAAAAAAGTACAATTCAAAGATGAAATTTACATTAATGCCCTATTAAGAATTAGACACGGGTAGGTAGTTGAGGGTCGGTTCTGCTATTTGATACAATAACCGACCCTCAGCCGCCCGATTTAAGTCCGCCTCTTAACATGCTAATTAAATATAAGTCTAGATAAAAAAGTACAATTCAAGGTGAAATTTAACACTAAATACATATTAAGAATTAGACACGGGTAGGTTGTTGAGGGTCGGTTCTGCTATTAGATACAATAACCGACCCTCAGCCGCCCGATTTAAGTCCGCCTCTTAACATGCTAATCAAATATAAGTCTAGATAAAAAAGTACAATTCAAGGTGAAATTTAACACTAAATCCATATTAAGAATTAGACACGGGTAGGTTGTTGAGGGTCGGTTCTGCTATTCGATACAATAACCGACCCTCAGCCGCCCGATTTAAGTCCGCTTCTTAACACGGTATGAATCTAAGTATAAATATACATGTAAGATAAAAATTTAAAAAACACTGAAATGGGTTGTTGCTCCCATTTGGAGTCTTTGAGACACAGATATATTAGGCTATGGTAAAATAGAATTATACAAGAAATGATTCGTATGTTTTAAGAAAAGCCTTGTTAAAAATATACAGATTAATTAACTTCGGTATCAAGTAGATTAGTATGTATGTGAAGTCTTGAAACATTAAAATATTAAATGCTTGCTATACAAATTTTAAAATATAATGAACTAACATAAGGTGGTAAAGTGTTGATAAATATCATACCAACCTTAAATTATGTAGAGAAAGATTGTTTTAAAATTAAAATTAAGATTAAGACTGTCCGCATGTTATATTAATGCTTTATAGACAGATCTTCAAGTAAGTTACATTTTTTAAAAACAAATATTGAATATAGAAAATAGAGAATACAAAATAGGCGTTTGACTGATTAATTGATTACATTTATAATTGGTGATATAGTGATATAAAGAAAATGAGGTAAGGTGATAAGTAATTAACATAATTGATGCACAGAGAAAGAAATAATGTTAATATACGTAAGGGTGGATTACGAGCGTATTATTATCATTGGTTTATTTATTTAATTATTTATTTGAAAGCGTCCAGTAGGTATGGGAGGGGTGGTGGTGTTTAATGTTTGTTGTGAGGTGACGGTTATGTTGTTGTGTGTTATTTGTGTAGGTGGACAAATGCCCCCGGGCAAGAGACGCGTGTGAGGTCGCAATTAATTAATGTTTTGTGTGATTGTGTTACTGTGTTTATTGTGTTTATTCGAGTGATTATATTAGTTGTTGTGTATGTTGAGAATTTATGTGTAATTAATTTTGGCCTCGACACGAGCACGCATGGCCCTTACTTTGGGGCACTTCTCTGAATCAGCGCGGTGTAGAGTGCCGGTGTTGGTGTTGAATTGTTTGTTATGTTCTGCGCAATTGGTGCAGTTGTGTACTTCGGCCTTGCACTCCGCTGTAGGATGGTGAGCGGAGCACTTGGCGCATGTGGGTGTGGTGTTGGGGCAGCGGCTCTTAGTGTGTCCGAAGTTTAGGCAGTTTTGGCACTGCCTAAACGGTGAAAAGTTGTCGCTATGGACCCGCTGCATCCCTATGTTTACTCTGCCTAGGTCGGCAAACGCCTTCCAGGCAGAGGGTGTGGTGTTTAGTACTATGTTATAGAGTGTTGAGTTCCTATTTTTAGATGTAAATTTGATGCTAAATGTGTGATCGGTGAGTGTCGGGTTCTGGTCTTTGATCGTTTTTGTCAGTTCGGTTTCGGGTATTAATTTGTTAATACCTTTGAGTATAATCATCGGATCGATACGTTTTTCCTCCTGTGTTTTTATGTTTGTGTTTTTCTGTAATTGTGTAAGTGTGTGTTGTTTATGCTCGTCTTTTTCGAAAACGAGTTTAATTTTGTGTTTTGACAGCGGGGTAACCTTTAAAGGGGCGTATCCGCCCTGTCTGAAGTCAACTGTTCTGCTTATCTGTGTTAATAACTGCTCGGCTGTATTGAGACCCTCTCCGGACACTACGACGGAAGGGCCTGCAGGAGGTTTGGGCGTGGCGGCGGCCTTAGCGTAGGATTGATGAATCTTATACGGGTCCGCCACTACTTGCTGTATTTCCGTCGGCGCGGGTGTAGGACATGCCTTTAAAGCCCTGGTGTGTTCCTGCAGGACCCTGTTTGACTCCTCGAGTAGCCGAGAGTGGGCCTCAATTTTGTGTACAAGTTGTGTTTGTGTGGTGCAAATTGCTAGTGTTGAAGATTTAGGTGTAGTAGTTGTGGGTGTTGTAGATTTGTCAGCCTGTGGTGTAAGTGGTGTGGGAACGGGAGGGGTGGTGCGGATGGTGGATGGAGGGTCAATTAGGCCGACGACTCCGAAAAGACCTTCGATTGCCTCGGTAATAGCGGCTTTTAGTTCGCCCTTAATGTTGCGAGAGGCAGAGAGAGCTTGTAGGCCCGTCTGCCTGTATTCTTTGGCCATCTCCATGTGAGCCGACTCTGTTGGGCGTTTTACGCGAGTGAAGGCCGGGCTCAACATCTCTACTAAGGTCCGTCTAGCTGGTGTTGCGGACGTAGAGGGAGTAGGGGCTTTGTTCGTTGGTTTGGGTGGAGTTCGGGGTAACATTTTGCTGGTGGAGGGTGAGGGGGAGTGAAGGGGAGCTGAAATGTGGACAGGTGTATTTACCTCTTCGAGCTGAGTCGTTTGATACCCAACTCGAGGGGGTGGGGGTGAGGGGGGAGATTTTGTAGCAATGGGGGGGGAAAACCTGTTTAGTGGGGTGGAGGGGGGTTTGCGAAAGGAACAGTATACGCTATCAAATAGAACTCGCCGAGCCGGTTTAAATAAGCCCAAGCTCGACGGGTTTAGGATAAAAATTTGAAAATATTAAAAATTTATAATTATGGGGCTGGTAATCCACCCTACCTTGTGTTAAGGACCAGGATTGCTCGCCAGCTGTTGCTCGTAATGTAGTGGTGATAGGTGTTTTCTGGCTGCCCCCGGAGAGGACAAGTTGTTGGTGTTGGAGCAGGAGCTGTTCCAGCTGGTCGCCTGATGACTTGGTGTCCAGTTGGGCAGGTGAAAAAGTGTGGTGTGCGGTTTGGAACTAATCCGATGGAATCTTGTGCGGGCTATAAGATGGTGGTAGATTCCGATTTTTCGGAGGTGTGGATCCCCTGGAAACCCTGGATTCCAATCTATTCCTGGTCGTGGTTCCTGAATTACTGGGCGAATATTGATGATATTGGTGTCAGTCGGTAGGTTATTTTCTGTACTTTGTCCTTATCGTAATTTGGATTTGGTGTTCTGATGTTTGGGGGTGGTTAACCCCAAAAAACGGTTTTCCCTTGGTCCGAGAGGATATTTCTGGTCCGATTTTGTCGTGAGATGTGTCAAAAGATACCTTTCCGTCTAGCGCATCTTATAGACATATAAAATTAATTGTGTGTTGTGGGGCCGCTTGCTGGTGGGCAAAACCCTTATTTTTGAAGTTATTTGGCTCTAAAAAATCTGTTCTTTGGCCCAAAATTATAAAATGGGTATCAGACGATAGCCTTCAATTAGGACTATCGTTTTAAGCTAAAATATTGCACTGTTACAGATCTGAATAAAAAGTTATTGACCTTTTTCCGGTGTTTCGTCCATGGAATCCTTGGTTGTGGACCCTTATCAACCAAAATTAGGTCGAAATGTCCGTCTTAATGCACTCTATCACAATACACAACAAAAACAATTTTTTGAACACTGACACTATTTTTAAAATTGAAAAAACTGAAATTTTTTATGTTTTTTGAAGAAATAAAATATTAAACTAAAACTTTTAAAACTGAATTTAACACCGTTAGTTAGATCGCAGAAGCGCGCATCTAACGATATATAACACTTTACTGAAAACTGAAGAAAAACCACTTTTTAGATTTTTGCAAACTTTTTTAAGGCGCGGAGCGACGTGGATTCGACCGTTTCGGGTGGCGTTTGGACGCGGACTGGTTAGGTTAGGTTAGGTTAGGTTAGGTTAGGTTAGGTTAGGTTAGGTTAGGTTAGGTTAGGTTAGGTTAGGTTAGGTTAGGTTTTTTTTTTTTTTTTTTTTTTTTTTTTATTGCTAGTGGGCCTACCTCCCCGGCGACTTACGTCCCGGGGCCGAGGAAGCTAAGCTTTAATAAGTTTTTCAGTACAATGTGTTTATTATTTATTTAACAAATATATTTAAATTGGACATGGGTTAGGTGGTTGAGGGTCAGTTTTGCTATTTGATACAATGACTTTCCCTCAACCACCTTGGTAGAGTCCGCGTCTTATAAACTAATTTCTTATAACTAAATTTACAAATTTTTATTAATATTTTAGAAGACTAATAATAATAAAATTTTAAGTGTAACTTTTATAAGTGAATCTGTTTACAATTTTGATTAAGTTACGTTAAAGTTTCTAAGCTAATACTATACTAGCTAATCTATATTAATACAAAAATCGTGAGGGTCTTATGAGCTAATACATTTCTTTCGCAATGGATGAATACAGTGCTAAAGTAAAATTTAAAGTAAAATCTAACTATAAAGGTCTTATGATTATGTAAGGTTGTTTTGTAATTAACAATTATTGTATAAGTTTAAGTTCGCATATTCTGAACATAATACTCCGTAATAACAATACTTTAGTGTATGCAGGAGGAGAATTTTGTACATTTAAAGTAAGGGCTTATAATATGGTAATGGTAAAGATAACAAAATATTACTTTGCTGTCAGACTGATATCAAATATGTTATGGTGGATGAATACAGTGATAAAGTAAAATCTTAATATAAAGGTCTTATGATTAACATATTAATGTAAGGTTGTTTTAAAATTAACAATTATTGTATAGGTTTTAAGTTCACATATTATGAATATTATACTCTGTAATGACAATACTTTAATGTGTGCAAAAGGAGAGTATTGTACATATAAGGTAATTATATGTACATATAGAGGCTTATGATATGGTAATAGTAAAAATAACAAAATAACGATTGGATTGGAGTGGATTACGGGTTAGGTTAGGTTAGGTTAGGTTTTTTTTTTTTTTTTTTTTTTTTTTTTTTTTTACCTAATCAGCCTACTCCCCGGGCGAAGTTTATCCCCGGGCCGTGGAAATTCGAGCTAGATTGAAACACGAGATCTTTAAATGTTTATTTCAAAATCTGTAGGTTACATGTTTTTGTTCAATGAGTGTTATTATTTATTACATATTGTTCATTAATTATTTACATCATTACATTGTTTATTTACATATTATCATACATAATATCTTAGTTTACTAATTCAATGTGGCAATACGCTAGTGTGTTGGCATGCCACAGTCCCTGTTCAGTCTGCGGACACTTTCTATTATTTTGTCGCAAAACTCCTCCAAGCATGTCCGAGTGTCGTCGCGGGACACCAGGTGTGGGAGCTCGTTTTCATTTAAAGAAATTCCAGTTTTCTCCTCCACCTCGTGCCTCGCGACTCCAAACATTGGGCAGCTAAGCAGACAGTGCAGGGACGTTTGCGGCGTGGTGTTGTCACATGGGCATGACGGGTCTCGCTTTAAATTGAATCTGTGTAAGTAACTGGCAAAAGGGCCGTGGCCCGTCATGATGTGCACTAAATTTCTCTGTGGTCTGTTTTGTCTAACAAAATTGTATGCCGATTTTATGTCGGGTAGGAACACCTTAGTCACCAGACCCCGCTCACTCTCCGCATACCTCTGCTCCCACTTCTTTATTGTTTCTTTACGAATGGCCCTTTTTATGTAGGATATCGGGCATTTTGTGTACGCCGGTTTTGTCTTTAGATTGTTTGCTGCGCTTCTGGCCAATTCGTCAGCTCTCTCATTGCCCGCGAGACCACAGTGAGCCTTTATCCAATGTAGTTTTATTTCCTTATTATTTTTCTTTGCTATCTTGAGGTTTCTTCTTATTTTCGTTATAAGAGGGTGCCATGAGTTGCCATTGACAACCGCCTGTAGTGCCGATCTGGAGTCTGAATATATGTCACAGGTTTTGTCGTTTGCGGCATTCATGTCCTTTGTGGCTGCCACCAAGGCGAAGGCCTCCGCTTGGAACACTGTGCAGTAGGATGAAAGCTTAAATTTCCTGGACTTTATTTCGGCCCCATTTTTCCACCAGGAAAAAGCGGCACCGACATCTTTATCACTTTTGCTTCCGTCCGTAAATATTTGCACTTGTCCCCCGAGCTCGTCGCCAAGTCCTCCTCGTTTAGGATAAGTTTGAAATTTAGCAGTGGCTCCTCGGCGGGATGGTCCATCTTGCAATACTCTGTTTTATTCTCGACCTCGATATCGTCCGAGAGGCCCTCCCAGTTGCCTTTTTCGCCATGTATAGGGTGGCTACTTCAGTTATACGCAGGTCGAGTGGGAGAGCACCAGAAAGAGCCAGAGCTGCATTCAGAGACACAGTCCTATTCGCCTTTACTATCTTTTGAGTGAAGCCCCTTTGAATAGTATTTAATTTTTTGCGGACACATATTTTTCCGGCTGCCTTGGCCCATGCCGCCGCTGCATAAGTTATAGTAGGTTCCACCACGGCTGTATAAATTGTGGATACTATATCCGGATGTAATCCCCAAGTCTGCTTTGCTGCCTTAGCCACCTGTTTGTATAAGTTGGCTGCCTTGACGCAAATCGTTGACACATGTTCATTAAATGTGAGTTTATCGTCTATTGTCAGGCCAAGAATTTTTATTTTGCTTGCCAGTCCAATTTGAACTCCATTCATTTCCAGCCTTGGGGTGTCATACTTGATTTTGTTTGTTATTACCATTGCCTGGGTCTTGCTAGGTCCAAATTTCAGTTTATTATTGTCTCCCCATTTCATGGCCAACTCGAGCGCCTTGTTTCCCTTCCTCTGGACTTCCTCTCCACTGTTACCCTCCACTATCACCAGCATCGTCAGCGAATGCCTGACAATATATATCATTGTCAGACATTTGCCCCAGTATCGGGTCCAGTATAACGTTCCAGAGCAAGGGGCCGCTGATGGATCCCTGCACGCAACCCTTTGTAGTCGATTTTTCTACTTCTTCCCCAGCATATCGAAGCTTAACTTTGCGACTCCGGAGATAGTCATCGTACACCCTTCTCAGGTTGACAGGGCATCCCTGTTCGGCAAGGCGCATTCGGATTCTGGGCCACCACGCATTATCGAAAGCGCCCTCTATATCTAAGGAGATGATTAGTGTGATGAGTTTACTTTTAAGGTTTTTACGTACTCGATCCATTAGATTATAGAGGGCGTCCTCAGTACTTCGCTGCGGGATGAACCCGTACTGCCTCTTGGATAGTTTAGGCACAAGGTGCCACTTCAATCTCTCGACCAGCATCTTCTCATAGATCTTTCCCATTACAGGGAGGAGGCCGATGGGTCTGTAGGCTTTTGGTTCTATGTATTTCGGTCTTCCCGGTTTTCTCAGGATCACCACCGTCGCCTCCTTCCACTGTTTTGGGAAAG